TTTGGGGATCTGACATCATGGACTGAACCATTGCCAGTGTTTAGGCTGTCTGTATTGTTCAAGAGTAATATGTTATCACCAACACTGTTTATCACCACTGCAGTCCCATGTTAATACTCACCTACAGACAAGCGTTGCAATAATGACACACCAAGCTGTGCAGCAACAGTCGGCGTTGGGCTGCTCCTCGTTTTTTTTCCGCCGGCAGCACAGCCAAATGGAATAGAAGAGCAGGAAGAGGAGGTCCAGAGCCAGACAGGCAAGCGCCACACCTCCCAGTAACAGGATTGACTGGTAAAAAGAAGAATGGAGTTATGGAAAACGTCATAGCTGTTACTGGTTTCTCCTCAACAACAACAACAACAACTGGGATAAAATGCTTTTAAAGTGTCCCACAATGGAAATGCACACAACTTCAAGTATGTTGCTATCTTATCTGAGTGCTATTTTACACCCAGTCTAAACAGTGGTGTGTGCTTCAATGTTAAACAGAAACATGAAGACAAAATAGTCTGTTGACTGATTTGCAAACTGAAAGACTTAACTGAGAACTTGATCTGAGAAACAACTGCAAAGAGCAGCAAAAACCACAAGAATGTATAATGATGTACAATGTGATAGTCAAACCTCTCTCCACTAACTGTAGCTCTTCGTATGTAGGTCAGACAGAGGGCCTATGTGTTCACTGCATGCTCCTGAGGATTCATTGCTGGGGCAGATTTCCATCCACTTTTGTTTTTGTGAAAAACCCAGTGTTGTTCTACTCGTTCAGTTTCCCCAACAAAGCATCGCAGTGAATGACACGCCCTAGTGACCTGTGCAAAGCAGCGAGTGAACACAGCCAGCATTTGACTACTCCCCGTGTTCCCAGTGACATACACAAATAATGCCATGCCTCATCCATGCTGCTCTGCATACTTCAACCAGGAGGAAAGACTGATCATAATGAGGATTAATTTTGGTGCATCACATCTTTACCATCTGGGCAAGATGTAAGAATGACATACTCAAAAGTTGAATCACCTAGATGCAGCCTGAGCCCCATTAATGTCTCAGCCATCTGGATGAGTCAAGAATGTCCCTGAAGCTTGAGAGGGAGCATTGCACTGGCAATAATTAGCAGGCTGTAATTAAAGTCAGTCAATAATTATGGTTTGTAAGCTGTCCCAATGATAACACCTTTTATGTGCAGCACTTGTCATGAGAAAACTGAGAAAAGGAACATATAGCAGATAACAGCTGGATTACCCTTTTAATAGTCTTGTTAAAAGCAACAGGGATCTGTTGCTTTTAAAGAGATATTGTTCACACTGAACTTCCTGAACAGCTGTTATCCAGTAGGGGTGTAACATTTCGCAAACTGGGACCAAAGGAATTCTTTTTTTCTCAAGTTGTGGCATGAAGTGAAATATGGTTTTTGAGAGCTGTTATTCTTTTGTTATATCCATCAACTCCTACCAGGATAGCTGCTGTGAAAAGCTGTGAACTTTATACTCCTTAAAATGCTCACTTGCTCCAAACTAAAATCTAATCGCACCATTAAAATCAATGTTTAACTAAAGGAATTTGATAGCAGGTAACATGTTAGTTCGAACAGGGAAATAATCAGAAGTGAAAGTGTAAACATCCTTTTAACTGTATAAGATCTGGACCATGACCGTGAATTGCAGACGCATGTCTGGAACACGCCTTCCTCGTTTCAGAGGAATCGTGATTCACTTCTCGATTTTCTGAATCTTCTTCCTTGGTAAAAGGGAAACGGGGTTAGATCTTGATGCATCTCTTAAAGTTAACTCACGTCTGTAGATTTTTACACTTGTTTTCAAAATGCTCCTCTACATTAGTCTGCCTGCTCTTAGTAATCACTGACCCAGAGCTTTATTAAAAACCACAAAAGTACTCAGGATTTGGTAATGACGCACTTTCTAACACCAACAGCATAAAGAACATAGATAAAAAGAGGAATTTAAGTCTGTCGTCATAATTATAATTATTATCAAACCTTTTTGCAGATCTCTCTTTATTAAAACCTAAATAAAAACAATTACTTATCAGACTAGCTGTACCAGTTTCCACACAATTAAGGACTGCAAAGTGTTACCTGGATCTAACAACATGGCTTTCACAGATGATAAACACCATCTTTGTTGAACATAAATTCAAAAAGAAAGCAATGCATTGTTCATGGCAATTCAAAGGTATTTATTGATTAAAGGACAATAGAACTAATGGGTCTGAAGAAGGGAATAACCACCTAGAGCTGGGTACCTATAATGAACATAACAAGTTGCAGAGACTCTCCAAAACTCTCACTTTATGTGACCTAAATTTAGAAGATTCTATTTAATATTAATCACATGAACAAACGCCCTGCTTTCCCTTCCCCCCAGAGTCTAAACTACTCATTAGACTGTGCAGAATCCTCCTTAACCCCTGCTCTCAGTTTAACCTCCCCGATGTGAGTCTGAGTCTGAGGAATAAATATATTTTTCCTTTGGGTACTCCAGAGTCTTAATGCCCCCCATGTGGTGTAACAAATACTGACCATGATAAGATTACAGGGAAAATAAGACATAAGGAAGTGGTTGCTTAGGTCAGCTTATGTGGCCTGGATTACACTATACATTGCCAGCTGGTTAGTGTCTGGAAAGCTACACACACAGATGGTGTCAGGGATCAAAAGGTGGAGAGAACGATCAGCTGCCACCAATACAACTAATAATATTAAATGACAACCTTACAGGAAAGAAAAAAAAAACAGACTGTAGCCCAGCATGCCCAAACATGCTACAATTGCGAAATGGAGGTTTGGGATTTTATCAAACTGATACCGAAACAAGCACTTGATAATATCACATCCCCAAGTGTGAGTCTAGGAACTTGTAGGGTATTATTTTACCTGTTGATACGTCCAGTCTTCTGGTCTGAAGTCACTGCTCGTTTGCTCGAACCTTAAGTTGAAATGTGGAAGTCTGTGCAGCAGGTTCACCCACCATGGTGGAGTGTAGCTAACCACCGCTGCCATGGGGAGCAAATGTCAATGAGATCCACGGACAACGGGCTGGAGAGAGGGGATGCTTCAAAGTGTAAACACGGAGGGGAATCCACCTCATACAGTCAATCTGTAGCCGGGGTGGATGACAAAAACACATGCAGTAATGTTTAAGTGTTTTCTTCACTCTGACAATCATAAACATTGCATTCATTTATTTTTTACCTACGTATAAAATCCTAAATGCTTTCATTACATATTAATACGAGCCCGGACAAAACAACAGCTCGCTAACTTCACAAACACTGATGCAGCTAGCACTCAGCTAACCTTAACTACTCGATGTAAACCTCAGTCATGCTAGTTACTTTCTGTCAACTTAACTATCTCTGGCGTTGTGTGACAGTTGGAACTTTGCTCTAATGTTAGCTGTAATCTCTCAAGCACAGAAGTCCATTTAAAATCACATAAAATCGTCGATTTTTAAGAGCTACTTATACCCGTAAAGTAGGTTAGCCAGCGTTAAGTCTGCTAACGTTAGCCGGTTTAGCTGCTAGTTAGTTGCGTCCGCTGAGAGTCGAGGAGGAATCAGAAGAACCAGTCTCTTTTGTTTCACTTGGCATTCTCCTCTGCGGTTTATTGCATCCTGCCTTGCTCATTTGATAGTTCCTCATTTCATCTCTCGCAGTCTTATCCCACCGCAACGACTCAAACTACCGAGCGAGATCTCCAACCAGTTATCGTTCGTGCGGGAGGCTGGAGCCAACCCAACTCGGCGACTGTTCACGACATTCACCCAGCTGGCAGCCAACCCAGCCCCGGCCCGCAAAAAGTAGCCCAACACCGTCGATATGTTTTAAAAAATAAAACATGACCCAACAGCGCCACCCAGAGGAGCCGCAGCGTAGGGCTATTGGGAGGTTCAGGTAATGTCGGAAAAAGTATGACTAGCTGTCTATTGAGTCATAGCTAAGAAAATTGTCTCCGCTAAGGGGTTTAAGATAGTTAATTATTTTTTTTGAACAGCGGGAAGAAAAATTAAAAGTCTTGTAAAAGTAATGCAATAAACTTATCTAAAAAATATTAAGGAAGGAGAACAGAGGGAAAATGCCAAATTACACAAAATTACACCAGCACCTTGATGGAATTATGAAATCAGAACAACCTCTAACACCCACCAGATTGCATGTGGTGCTATCTAAAAATCATCTGACTGATAACAGCTTCAATTGTCATGATGCCGATGAACCCAAACATGATGCCAGGGGAGTAAAAGCATACTTGGACAGAAAAAAGACTCCCAAACCCACAGTGGGACACTATTAGTCATGGATTAGCCTCCCCAGAGCTTGGATCCAACATTACTGACAAAGAAAGAAACAACAGGCAGCCAACATCCAGAGAAGAGCTTTGAATATCCTTTAAGAAGCCTGGAGAAGTATTCTTGAAAAATGCTTTTACAATAAAAAATTACAGTAAAGTCTAACCATAAGAGACTTCAGGCTGTATTAAATAATGAAGGTAGTCGTGCCAAAAACACTGACTTTCAAGCTTATAGTATTCGGCAAGCACGGTTACAATTTGTATTTCATATTTCTAACAAAATATAATGAAATAAGTGTGGCTCAAGCCTTTTGCACATTATTCCTGAAAATAATGTGTATTGATAATCTGAGAGTGTTTTCTGTTTATTTTGTTTCATGTTTCTATTCTCTTTCTGCTTTATTGTTGATATCTACGACAAAACAACAACAACACGTAAAGATAATGCAGCTAAAAACAGTGCGGTTATGTGTACAGCAACAACGATCACGTCAATTAAACTCTCTGCCTGTGGATCTTGTTATCCCTCAAGCTAAAATATAGAAGGAGCACGTGAAGGCACCATTGCTCATGCAGACAAGTTTAAAGAATGAGGAACAGAGAATAAACTAAAATTAAACCTCCCAAGTGAAACCATGAAATAAATATCCCCCTTTGAGACATTTCCCCCCCATTGCAAGTTTGATAAGTCTGATAAACCTCTGTCTCACAGAGTTGGGAGTTTCATAAATCGCTTCTTCACACCCCAAATCCGTTTCTTGGTTCGGATTAATGCAGTTTAAAGGCACAATTGGTGATTAACTGTGGCTGTAAGTAAATTACTGCACTTAATTCATGTGGATTATTCATCTCTGGGCTCGGACTTGCGCCAGCGATCGCTACAACTTTAAGAAATAAATTGCATGTTTTTTTTCTTTTCTTCAGGAAATCACATGGAGGTGCTCCCGTGCTCACATGACAGACTGAACCATGGCAGGAGAGATCAGTGAAGGTAGAGTGCCAAAACTTCTTAAAAGTCCTTTTTATGACAGTATCGCCAAATGATTTCCACATTGGATTTATTTATTTTTCTCGACGTTGCGATGTCGGAAAAGTTTAAAGTGTGAATATTCCTGCGAACTAAAATCGCTATGAGAATTTCTGAGTAGGCAACATTACGATCGGAATCAATCTTCTTTTGAAAAGCCGTCATGTGCGCGTTTTATCTCACCAGTTGATGCTTTCTTGATACCAGTAAAGCTACAGTCTTGGTGATTTTTCCCGGTAAAGGTTATGTAAGCGGTGAACAGTGCTACTTAGTTTGGGAGCTGTTTTACTTCCATTTGGAAAACTTTCCCTTGTCCACTGAAATACCTAAAAACCCCGTAGTGATCTTATCTGAGCTGTATTAATCTTATCTAGTCCGCACTGCTCTAAAACTGAAGTTGTTAATATAATAATTCCCGATGTTTTTTCTTTCTTTCTTGTTTGTTTGTTTGTTTGTCTGTTTTTTGGATGCCTTAAAAGATTCAAGGCAACACAGTAGCCTGTAATTTCTATGAGGGGTAATATAAAACCACGAGATAGGAAATAAATCCTGTAGTTTCATAAAATTAGTTTCTCGTGACCCCTGCACTGGTTACCACTTCATTATAATGATGGCATATTTCTCATATTTGAGCAGTTGTGATGCTATGTAGGTGTTGTTCCTCTTTTAGGCTCAGTTCCTGCCTATTACAGGGAAGTGCATGAGGCCATCCGCTGTAGGACAGATGAGAGAGTGCAGGTTGAGGTTTTTCAGCGGCTGCTCCAAAGGACCGATCTCTCCAAGGTGGTCTTAAACCAGGTGCGGGGTCCACATTTAAAGCATTCATGCTGCGACAGGTAGAGACTGCAGTGTTATTTAAAACTGTAACTTTTACTTATTAACTGGCACTGGCCCAAAGCAGCCTACTGTAATGGACTATACAGCCCACACTGAACCGAAATAATAGAGGAATGTCCCATTGACTCATCCCTATTTTTGCATATTACATGTGACACATGCACTCACAGTTTTATAGTGACATGAGGCTGGCATAGAAAAGGATTACAGACTGGTGAATTGAAGCCTTTAGTCAAAGAGACAATTTAATAAATTAAATGGGCTGCTATGCCACATTTTTGCTCAACTGTTCACTTTAATTTTGATAAGGGATGCCTTGTGAGTTAGTGTTAGCAAATGCAGACAGAGTAGATAAAGACATAATATTTTATCAGGTCGCCACTGTGAGATAGGCTCCAGTGCCCCTGTCACCCTGAGTTGGAGGAGTGGTTGAGACAAATGATAGTGGGATGAATATCTTATCAGCAGGAAGTATTGTTGGCTTGTAGGCATTGAATACATAGCGGTGTATCCCCGTGGTTTTTGTTTGCATTAATGCTGAGATGTACAACACATCCACAATATGAAATTCCTCTGAAGTTACAATGTCTGCAGGTTTCCCGTTCCCTGACCTCATTGCATATCATTGCCTTTGTGTATACTGCGCACTTTTCGCAAAAGGAATGCAAACCACATTTGAATTTGGTTGTCAGACTGTGAAATTGTGACCCTGAGGCCATATTGTCTTTGTTCTCTTCAGATTGCTGAGCATCTTGACTCCTCCGATGGATTCCTGAGCAAATTATCACTCTATAAAGCACTCGCTTTGATTGCTCTCGCTCAGCAGGGCAAGCAACCGAGTCCCAAACTCTTGGAGAACTGCATACTAGGTAGGGGACAGTGACAGCAGTGTAGTAAATGTTTTACTTAATGAGTAGTTTGGAAAATAAAACGGCAACGCCAGCATTTCCTCTGCTGTCAGGATAAATCATTTGCAAAGATACAAATGTCACTCTTTTTATTGACCATGTAGATGTAAGGTTTCACTTTTAAATAGAAGGTTAAAACCATGACAGCTCTAAACTGAAAAGTACCAACTGCATAAAATATTCATTTCACTTTCCTCACGTGGCTTCATTTAGTTTTATTTTATTTTGGTAGGGAAGACTTTGCTATATTTAAGTGTTGCATTCTTTCACTAGCCCCACAGAGGGAAGATGACAGGGGGAGAGGTTTTTATGGTTTTCATTGAGGTAGCCATTATGCTGGCTTGAGTTAGATCCATCCCCGACCTTCTGTGATTATTTAAGGCTCTCTCTGTTATTTCAGGTGTGGCCAGTATGGCAGCTTGCTGCATGCCACTTCCTTGTCAGCTCCAGAATGAATCTTATGCATTTGTGGGAGTACATTACATTCAATTCACGTTCTTCCTGGAATGTCCTAGAAGAAATGAAAAGCAGATCACATGAATGCTACACACAATACTGGGCTAGCAGGAGACAAACAGAGGGAAACACGTAGTCTTGGTTTTAACATCGGCATTCCTCGCAGTTGGGAAATTCACTTCTCTCTAGATTCATTGATTCGATCACGGAAAACAAATATTGGATCTTGGTTGTTGCTGTGTGGTTGTCAGAGTTACCGAAACCTCAGCTCGGGGAGCCGAGGGACCTGAGCACGCTGAGGATGCAGCCGGCTCAGGACGACGTGCTGACATTGTCGCAGACGCTGGACGGGCTTCTGGGGAAAGACACGGTCCAGGTGGAGCTCATTCCTGAGAAGAAAGGCCTGTTCCTCAAACATGTGGAGTACCAGGTCACCAGCCAGGTAAAACCTGATACATTAAATATGTGTGTTACAATGGTCTAGAACACTATGTGAACTACTACACTATTACTCTTTCTCTTAAATTTTCTTGTCTTTTTGTTTTATTCAGCGTTATAAGATATCAGTTTACCGGCGTTATAGCGACTTTGATGTCTTCCACGAGGTTTTGCTTCAGAGATTTGCCTACAGAGTCGTGCCAGCTTTGCCACCTAAAAGGATGTTAAAAGGAGGTAGGTCAGGGTCTTTGTTTCTGCATCGAATCATTTTACAGTTTATTTTTTTTAGCTGAACATGTCTGTTACTTCAGATTTGTTTGGAGATTATTTGGGTGTATACTCTCGACAGAATGGTTGACAAACACGTAGCCAAGCAGTTTGGCGGGTAAAGAATAAATAATAAGAATAAAGAAACTAGTGATGTGTAAAAATCCAGCTGTTTCCTCTTTATGTAGATTCTTATGCACTGATGAATCCTCACAAACACGCTTGGTTAGACACCGACTCCCTTACGTCTTAATCAACTGTAGAATATTTTTTAAAAATGTATCATCATATGCAAATCAACCTTTCCACCATTGGTGCTTTTTGATGCATAACATCGGAAGAGTTCTCCATTTATGGTTTTTGAGTAAATTGACATGGACTTCAAGTTTAAGCTAAAGTTTGCCCCCTTTTATACCCCGAACACCCCTCTCTGTCAGTGCTAACACTCCTGGTCAAACTGCTCATCGTGTTTGCTCTCTGCTGCGTCTGTCCACAGTCCTGACCTCGCTCTCCGAGCGGGAGTTCATTGAGGGGAGGAGACGTGGCCTCGGCAGATTTCTTAACTTGGTGGCTCGACATCCTTTCTTCTCAGAGGATGAGCTGGTCAAGACCTTCCTCACTTTCAGTGGCTCTGTATGTCGTTTCTTTAACTTACTCCCTGTTTCTTTTGTGCTGGCTGTTGCACAGTAAGCATTATGGTCATGATGACTGACAGTGCAATGCATCCTGTTTTAGCTAATCTGTGTCGT